CTGATCATTTGTATATACATAACCCTATATCTATCTCGATAAGTTTTAGGTGATACAAACAACCGTTAGGTAAACATAACTATTATATTCTGTAGCAACATGTTGAAAGAGTATAATAACTTATATTGAATTACACTTTGAATTTGGTTACATCTGATAGCAAAAAATTTAAAATGTGTAATTGGAAATATGTAGTCAATTGTAATCAAACAAAAACCTGATTTCGATTTTTTTGATGATACGTTGTTTTACATTTCAGGTGACGGTAAATATCGGTTGTTTTTTAGACGTGTGGTTTTCAATAAGGCACAACTTTTTTCGGAATTGGTATGTTCGACAGCTGTTTTGTTTGGTTTGCCATTTCATAATGCACAGATTTACTCCGGAACAACGTTTGCAAATTTATTATTAAAACAATGGTTCGGTCCCCTCTACGCATCGCGTCCTGCGTTCAATAGTCGGTCGACATAATCGCTCAGCATAGTCGGTAATTTACACATTTACTCTAGTTGATAATACGCATCCTCAGATACGCCATACAGTGCGCACCGAAGACTCTATTGTTGCTGTGGAGCAGAGTATCAAAGAATACCTGAATGAGTCCATCCACGATCGCGCGCAATAATTGGAGCTGTACCCATACACTTTATGGAAGATTTTGCGGAAGGATCTTGGTTTGCGGGGTTCAAAATAGATTCGGTGACCAATATAAATTTATAATAAAGCTAAATCTTTGACTATTAATTATATGTGTTTTATTTCTTTTTGACAACTACTTGTCTAAAGAACACCCTTTACCTAAAATATTAATATAAATATACCTGCATGCATGTATGTATGTTCAATTATATACAATACAATTTATTTCACAACAGACATAAGTACCTATATCAAACATTTTCCATTTTCACTAACTTCATTTTGTTTTTTTATCATGAATCATAGAAAGCATTAGGCCATATTTATTCCCGAAAACTGTGTTCTTCAAAAACACGTAAGTACAGTAAAAACTCTTATAAACGGGCATGGATGGCCACCAACAACTGGACCCCTTATGCCAACTTCATATTAATGGTTTCATATTTAAAATGCAAAATGTTCTTAAATGGACGAAATTCGGTACGAATAAAACATAAACACTCTTAAAATTGAACTGCGCTTGCATAAATGACTCTTTCCGCTTAGCTCGAAACTCGTGTGCTTGTACTTTGTCCGTGTCCGTTTACCAGAAAGCTTATATTTGGTTAAGAACGTTCTATAGAAAAATATCAAAATTTTGTGGCCGCAAGAATATATTCACTAATAAGAGATGGGAGTTTACACTTTACTTCAGATACATAGAGTCTTTCAGATATCTAACTATATTTCACACTCCTTTCGAGAGCATTTCTTTATTCAGTTCTAGCTGAACTTGAGTCTTCTTTTTATAATATTAAAAATTCTATGACAAAAGTTTCAAGTACTTTGATTATACATAAGATTTGCAAATAATTAAATTGATTGCCATTAACTAAAAAAGAAAGAAATTCGTAGTTAAACTCAAACTGAGACTGTTTATTACTGTCTTCTCTACAGGTTTAGTACTTTTGATATTTGTTTAAATGATTTCTTCTGTTTAAGTTATCATTAAGTAATCAGTCTGAAAGTCACTGTAGCTGAATGACAATACTATGTTTATGTCACAACAATATTTTTTATGGAAAATTTCTGTCAGTACTAAACGGGCTCAGCGCTAGGCGCAGTAATGATTCGTAAGTAGTTTGCAGGAATAAGTCATATGAGCACCGATGAACCAGAAGAACCTAACGGATGCTGAACTGAAGCTGCTTCAGTCAAAAACATCAAAGTATCGACAAAATTCGTTGGGACGATTGATTGTAAGAAGAGATCGATCGAAATGCCTGGTAGCAACCTGTTGAAAATATCATTGAGTTCCTGAAGATTTTGGAAATTAAAATTTACCGTGTGTGCTTACAATTGGCCGCTTCTCCATGTCACAAACGAATGAAAAATACACAAAATAGCAAGAAATATATAGAGTACATAAGTTTATGTATGGTATATTACACTGTTCTACAATGGTTTTGTTGCCCTTGATATAAGATCGATTTTGAATATATATGTGCTTACAGTTCATGAAACTATCAATGGTTTTGCAAGATTTGCTCTCGTTTTTTTTTAATCTTCATTTCCATTTTACAATACAAAAATCATAAAACTTGCAACCAAATAACATATGTATTGTATTTATTATGTCAGTTTTGTTTCAAAAACTTCTAGATCCTGATTGGATCTTTCTCTCTGACACTCGCGATAATATCCAAAATTATCGTAAAATGTATCCATTTGATTACGGAAATAGTTAAATTTACTCCTAGAGTATGACAGTTTGCCAGCATATTTCCCACAATTTCTTTATAATGTGGTACTTAATGGTTATCTAGAAAATTTTCGATGATCAACATAAAACTCTTCCATGATTCACTTTCCAGAACAGTCGTAACTTTGTTAAAATCTGTATCTTTCATTTCTTTGCTGCATCGAATATTCCACTTTTAAGCTTTTCCACACTAAGTTCGGAAATTTTCTACAAATTTCACTAAAACAATATCCTTTCAAGTCTAATGCTTTAACAAATTGTTTTATCATTCCTAACTTGCCCACGTATCACTGAGTTCATTTTGGGAAAATAACTTTTGTAGACTGTACCGATATCTGGGAATTTTGGACATCATTGTTTCTGAGTCTTCCATGCAAATTACTTTGAAAACGAAAGCTAAATTTTAATTGAGTAAAACAGAACATTTTATATACTGTACTTCTAGATATCTCCACAATTGATTTTTAATAAAACCTTAAAACTTTCCACATCATTTTTCGCGTAATTTCGGTAAGAAGCCTGAGGGTGAAGATCACGTGATTTTTGTATGCACAAAAAAGATGCGCAGAACCCTAATCATGACTAGAAAACTAAATTTTTATTAGTAAGAAGTCGATAAAGTATAAAGGCAGATGGAAATTTGGGAAGAACGCGCATACATACATACATATGTAAGTGACCGACTCGAAGAAATTCTTGTATGAGTACGAAAAGAAATCAAAAGTAAACACTTAAAAAATTTTTCAACTACAGAAATAAATGCTGTAAATAAATCTGTATCGCTTTTTTGTTGTTTGCTCATAAATAATAATAAATGCTGTCAAAAAATTACAATTGAAATTAGTTTTTAATACTTTCAGTTAGCACAATTTCAACAATAGCCCTAAATATATTCGTATTTATTGCTTCGGTTTCACATTGTTCTCCTCAAAGTTGCGGTAAAGCAGGGCTTATACAGTTTGCATAATACGCACAATGCATATTGTAACTAATTTTGTGATTTTCATTTTTGATGGCCTTAGCAAATATTTTCAAGTTGCAAATTTGAATTTTTTCGAACTGTTACTAATGAAAAACAATAAAGCTGCATAATCCTTCATGATTTATAGTGCAAACATTTATTGTTTACGGAGCACCGAAAGAAGTGAAAAAGGAGAAAACACAAAATTAGACTTGCAGAACAATTTATGCACCCTAATATCTATGTACCTTTTACAACGCAATTTAAAATGCAAAGAACACAAGCACATTGCTACAAAGCACACAAAAGCAATGAAATATTAAGAAGTAAGGAAGGGCTAAGTTCAGATGTAACCGAACATTTTATACTCTCGAAAAGTCAAATGGTATACTCGTTTGAGATTTCTTTGTAGATTGACTGATATTTTCGGTAGAAGATCAATTATAGGGACTGGGATTCACATATTTAGTAACTGTTCAAGCCCAGTTTTGGTTCGATTTAGAAAATTTTTGGTCACAAGGTGGCATACCTTAAACGTATTATTCACGCAAAGTTTTACCCCGATATAATCATTGTTGCTTGCTATGCATAGTGGAACGTGAAAGAATCAGATTAAATTGAAAATTTTGCTATATGGGAAATAGACGTGGTTGTAGTCCGATTTCGCCCATTTTCGCACTACAACATACAATAGAAATATGAAAAGAACGTTATGCACCGAATTTGGTTGAAATCGGTTAAGCAGATCCCAAGATATGGGTTTTCACCTAAAAGTGGGCGGTGCCACGCCCACTGACTAATTTTGAACACGGTTCTTATAAAGTCATTTCATACCATCACAGATATAAAATTTAATGTCGCTTTTAGTATTTTTTAACAGTACCGTTATATGGGGAGTCAGCCAGCTTGTCACCCGATTTCACCCATTTCCACACCGTCAATAGAGGTACCAAACACATTCGCTCCCAGTGAGTTTGGTTATTATAGCTTTAGCGGTTTAGGAGATAAGCACATTGAACTTATAAGGGGCGGTACCACGCCCACTTTTTAAAAAAAATTTTTACTGCAGATGCCCCTCCCTAATGTGATCCTTTGTACCAAATAGCAGTCTTGTATCGTATTGCGGAGCTTAGTTATGGCAATTTATTTGTTTTTGATTAATGGCGTTTTGTGGGCGTGGCAGTGGTCCGATTGTGCCCATCTGCAATACCAACCGTCTTACGGTACCAAGAAACATGTGTACCAAGTTTCATGAAGATATCTCAATTTTTACTCAAGTTACAGCTTGCACGGACGGACGGACAGACAGTCACCCGGAATTCAACTCGTCTCTTCATCCTGATCATTTATATATATATAACCCTATATCTAACTCGATTAGCTTTATGTGATACAAACAACCGCTAGGTGAACAAAACTATTATACTCTGTAGCAACAAGTTGCGAGTGTATAAAAATGTAAAGGGAAAAACTCAATAACACAGTAAATACCAAATGAAATTACTTGTAAGCCAAACTAAGATTTAGAATAACATTTCCAAGTTAAATGCATTAAACACAGATGGCATTAAATTTCAATACAACCAAAATTATATTCATTAGTCTCGTTATCGGTAGCGATTAAATTTTACTATACATTGTTTCTCAAAAAGAACTCACCTGGAGTCGTGACCATCGCAACTGCCTTCTTGTACCCGCAATGCATACAATTCCTGTGAGAAAAGCTGCAATCATGAAATTAAAATAAAAACATCAAACCAAATCAGAGAAAATTGCAAATAAGAGAACAGTAGGTTCTAAGAACGAGTACATAAAAAAACAAACACACAAATATAACATAAACAAGTAAGGAAGGGCTAAGTTCGGATGTAACCGAACATTTTATACTCTCGCAAAGTCAAATGGTATACTCGTTTTAGATTTCTTTGTGGATTGACTGATATTTATGGTAGAAGGTCAACTATAGGCACTGGGGTCCACATATTTAGTACTTAGGGGTTTGAACAGTTTTGGTTCGATTTAGACAATTTTTGGCCGCAAGGTGGCATACTTTAATTGCATTATTCATGCACAGTTTTACCCCGATATAATTATTGTTACCTGATTTGCATAGTGGAAAGTGAAAACATCAGATGGAATTGAAAAAGGTGTAATATGGGAAATAGGCGTGGTTGTAGTCCAATTTCGCCCATTTTCGCACTATGACATAGAAACATGAAAAGAACGTTACGCACCGAATTTGGTTGAAGTAGGAAGTTTAAGCAGATCTCAAGATATGGGTTTTCACCTAAAAGTGGGCTGTGCCACGCCCGCTGTCTAATTTTGAACGCGGTTCCTATAAAGTCATCTTATACCATCTCAGAGATAAAATTTAATGTCTCTGGCGTGTTTAGTGCTTGATTTATCGCGCTTTTAGTAGTTTTTAACAGTACCGTTATATGGGGAGTGGGCGGAGTTGCCACCCGATTTTCACACCGTCAGTAGAAGTGCTAAAAACATTTGCTTCTAGTGAATTTTGTTATTATAGCATTAGCAGTTTAGGAGATATGCACATTAAACCTATTAGAGGCGGGACCACGCCCACTTTTTAAAAAAAGTTTTAACTGCAGATGCCCTTCCCTAATGTGATCCTGTGTACCAAATAACAGTCTTGTATCTTATTGCGGAGCTTAGTTATGGCAAGTTATTTGTTTTTGATTAATGGCGTTTTGTGGGCGTGGCAGTGGTCCGATTACGCCCATCTGCAATACCAACCGTCTCACGGTACCATGAAATATGTCTACCAAGTTTCATAAAGATATCTCAATTTGTACTCAAGTTAGAGCTTGCACGGACGGACGGACAGACGGACAGACAGTCACCCGGATTTCAACTCGTCTCTTCATCCTGATCATTTATATATATATAACCCTATATCTAACTCGATTAGTTTTAGGTGACACAAACAACCGTTAGGTGAACAAAACTATTATACTCTGTAGCAACAGGTTGCGAGAGTATAAAAATGTATATTTGGTTATTAAACTTCCTTTAATTTATTTCAATATTGTTATGTATCATGGAAGAGTAACTTACATAAATTCAATTGTTTATCAAAAAAAAATTCCCATATACAACATAAGCTATTTTTCCATACGAATATATACCAAATACAAACGTGTTTGAGTTATCTTTCTTTCCATATTATTTATTTATTTTTCAATGCGTAAGCACTCACCTCTCCGTTTTCTGGCGGATCTCCATTACCGAATGTAGATGCTACTACAATCAACAAAGCCTCATGCTCAATGGAAGAGATATCGTAATCTGACATGCAATAAATCTGAAACAATGGTCGAGAGCTTTAATTGTGATTAAATATATTGAGCAAAATTAATAATGATTATCAAAGTCTTGCAGCATGTTAAATTTTCGAATTTCGTATATTTCCTTTAATTACAATATATAATATAAAACCAACTTCAATTTTCTGTACATGTTGATTACAAATCATAGTACATCATACAAACCTGGCATAAATAAATAGTCTATTCAATTCTGAAAGTTTTGAGTTTTGGACTAAAGTACTAATTTTAGGTAGAACATATAATTAAATTATCTTAAAAATGGTATGGATATAAAAAGTATGAAACCGTTCCGCCATGTCCACCATAGATAGCTTTCACAAACACGTTTAATAAAATATAGTTTTATAGCCCGATAACTTCAATCCTAATGTGAGCCGTATAACTTTTCGGTTTTCGAAAGTTATCGGAAAGTATTAAATCTATATTATAAAAAAGTATTTGCTTAATTTTATTTGTTGTTACTAACTGGTACTAACGAATATTGATTTAAATAGGTAGACTAAAATTTTATACGGGATAGTTTCAAGGGGTGACCTCAAAGCTACTCTATTATGCCTAAATATACTGGTAAGACCAAGAAAGATGAAGGAACCTCAAAAATAACTCAGAACTTCTTCTCGTACAACGTGTAGTTAAGTTCAAGATATTATCTCACTTATCACTCACCTGTGCATTGAACGCGTGTCCCAATAATTCACATAACTGATTTGCATACTGCTCGGACTTGCCAGTTTCGGTTGCATACAAAACAGTCGCCTTAATACGTTTTGACAAAGCGCGTCCAAATAATTTCGATGTAAATTTCACAGCCCTGTAAATGGAAGAAAAACCGAAATATGTATACATATGCACTGATCATTGCAATTCGACATGTGGTCTATATAAATACTTCAATAACTCTTTTTTAATTTTGAACTTTGGCACACTAATCCTTGGCAGGCAATGGAAAAACTTCTGAATAACATATGATTATATATGAAATATATATGATTATAAAGTTTAAAGTCATTACTCTTTCTCTTAATCTTGTAGATCCCTATGTAGCATCAAGTTAAACTGAACAATATATATGAATCGTAAGCCAAGTATGTTAAAAACTTTCATTCTAGTTGTCTTATAGCATGTTTTGGATGAAGTAAATATGTATCACTAAATAATTTTATGACTATTATACACGTTATTGGACTCTCTGTTTTTTGTCCAACCGCCAATTTCTATAGAGAAAACATTAGAGAACATTAAATACCAATTTGCTATGCCATACCTCACTTAAAATATATTTTATTCTCACCTTAGTATAAATTATTACAGAAACGCGCCATAAAAGAATAAAGAATATATTAAAAGCACTTTTTCTTGATTTTAATCAAAGTTTTCTGTACAAAGACTAGCGTTGGATTGGTCAGTTTGTATAACAACTTTATACAATAGTTGTCCGATTTAGGCGGTCCTGACAAATAAGCAGCTTCTTGGTGAAAAATCTTAAAAACTGAATTCGCGTATATATATAGACGGACAGACGAACATGGCTAATTATAAGCTATCCGATGTTTCCTTCTGGGTGTTACAAACTTCATGACAAACTTAATATACCCTGTTCTGGGTATAATTAAGAAAGAAATATCAAAGCATAATTTTAATAAAATTGCAACTTGAAGAAAAAATTTGATTTCTGATATACATATATATCTACGAGTATGTATTATATGTATGGATAGTATATATCTGATTTTACATACATATGTATTTATATATACATGTATATGTAAACATATGTATCTACTTATATATAATCTTTTTTTTTATATATGCATATATGATTAAATCTACACGCCGGATTTGCATATCGCGTTTAAGGCCAATAGACAACAAAATATTGTAATAACAGTAAAAAACAGCATTCAATAGACCAAGTAAAAAAACTTAAACAGTTACTGAAGCAAATCTATGACAAAGTCAAGTGAAACAAATTGGCCCTGTAGCTACTGCTAGAAAAAGTTTTAAACTTTCAGTTCACACGGAAAGCGAGTTTAAAAGTTTTTCTGTACTTAAATGTACATACATGTAAACTTGTATGCAATTGAAATTTTCAGTAAAGAGCCGTTTTTTCATGAATTTAACCTTAAGCTCTCAAATGTCTTAATTTTGTAACACTTCTGTTGAGAAGCTCAAAGTTAAGATTTCTGAAAAAAACATTAAAGCATGAAAAATATTAGAAGAAAAGAATCGGTAACCTTAAAAATATTATTTTGGTGAGACGTTGGCAGTTTCTGCTGATGCTCATTTTCAGTGAGTGCCATATTTGCATTTTAAGAGACCTGGAAATAATTACAACTTTCCTTAATTTGTGTTTTCAAACGAAACAATCACGGCTTTTTACCTTAAACTGAATTTTATCATATACAACATCAGAAAAATTAAAAGAAAACATCGACTGTCTTTAACATGACAATACTAAATGGCCAGCATAAAAGAACGATAAAAGAATATCTTAATAAAGAAAAGCGCGTTTTAATTTTAATTTAATTTTCTTATAAGCATATCGCAGTCACACAAAGAAATATATTAATTATATTATAGATGCATTAAACCTATTAGGGGGCCACGCCCAATAAATATTATACTGCAGAAGCTTCTCCCAAATGCGATCCGCTGCACCAAATTACAATTTTGTATGTTAATTTACGGATTAGTTATAGTATTTTAGAGAGTTTAGATTAACGGCATTTTTTGGTCGTGGCAATGGTCTCATCGCACAATACTGACCTTCCCAGAACGCCAAGTTTCCTCAAGATATCCGTGCGCTTGCACGGACCTACGAGCGAACGAACGGAAAGGCAGTCAGTTGTGCAAAATTTTCTTGTGATAACTTTGGTGGGGATTGTTATACATATGTATATACTGAAGAATTAAAATATCATATAAAATTTACGATTGTGGTATATCGAAAGCGTGGTTACAGTTGTTTGGCCATGTGTGCATAAGAATGTCGGGGTAATGTTATTCACCAACTTTAGTTGACATTAGTGCTGCAGTCGTTAGGTTAGGTTGATATAGTTTGCGGAGGCGGATCCATGCCACTTTTTAAAAAGTTTTAAGCCCCAAATGCATATTAATACTTCGATGCTATGTACCGAACTGCTGTATTGTATCTTAATTTTGACCATAGTTGTAGACCTTTATTGTATTTCTATTAAACGCCTTTTGTGGCCGTGGCAATTGTCCGATTCCGTCCATTCAGGTTGTCAAGGAATACATGTACCAGGTTTTACCGAGATATCAGGTTATCGCTTGCACGGACCAACAGACAGTTACACGGAATTGAGCTCATTCTTCATCCTGATCATGTATGAATACATATATTATATTATATAAGTCTATATCTACCTGTTACAAGAACCATTAGGTGAACAAAACTATTATACTATGTTGCAACATGTTGCCAGAGTTTAACTAAAAAGCAGTAGCGTACTGACTTCGCCGACCATGCTAGTTTGTCGCCGACTGTGAGTCGTATTGTTTCCCTCTTATTCGCTAAAGCAGCCCTGATTTTCATTTGTTGTTAGATTTTCATGCATTGTGCATTGTTGGATGTGCTCCCATTCTGTCATTCTGATTTTGCATCAGACATCTCTTTCGCATGAAAACGTATCTTTGTACAAATGTACATATGTATGTATTAATACTAGCATTTGTTGGTGTACCGTACTTTTACTATCCGGTCGTGTCATTAATGTTGACGAATTTAATTTTTCACATTTTCATAGTGATTTTATTAAAAAAATATATACGAGTATATTCAACAAACGAGCGTTCTCAATCAAAATGCTGACGCTTTGCAATTACACTTATTTGCTTTTAGTGAATTTGCATTTTTTGCACATGTGCGGAACTGTATATGTATACTACCGGCTATATCAGCTATGAATTTCAATTTCACCTGCACCAAACTGATGCTCATTTATTGTCCTTAATATTTGTACAACAACAATACGCAATGGTTTGCTTTGATGTTGGAGCTCGCTTCCAATTTGGTTGTCTGCCTACAAAATATACCTACATACACACATATGCACATACATAAATGTCCGTATATGGTATATACTCCATATGCACTGGAATAGTGAAACTTTTTGTAGTCGGTTAGTTTTGTTGGCTGTGTCTTAAATAACTTTCATTTTAGTTCGTATGTGAGCTACTATTGAAATCAGTTAACGGAATAAAAAGGCATTGGTTGAGAACTTCTAAAATCACATTCCGAAACTAAATGGTTTCGGTCGAACTTAATACCTTCTTATTTGTTATTTTATTTTATCAAGAAAAAACGTTAAAATCGACTGCACCCAAGCTTACAATATAGGGTATAAACCGATCTTTGATTGATTGATTTTCAACGGCTTGTGCGATCTAAACAATATGATCGGAGATTTTAGCGTTGCTTTGGACAATATTCTATGCCAATATCTTGTCAAATAAAAAGTTTACATACAATAACTTGATTTTGATCGGTGTGTTTTATGACCACCATAGGTCCGATATCCGAGCAGATTCTTAAGAGGAAAGTTACGTGCGCAAAATTTCAGACCTCTATCTCAAAAACTGACGAACTTGTTCGTCTATACACAGATAGACATGCTGACGAACATGACTAAATCGACCCTGGTCGCCACGCTGATCATTTGTATGGGATACACTTTATAAGGTCTCCGACGTTTCCTTTTGAGTGATACAAACTTCGTGGGAAACTTAATTTACCCTGTTAAGGACATAATTTACGTTGCATTGTACTTATGTATGTATTGTCTTCATTTTATGATGCGCATAATGTACCGTTATTTAATATTACTATAACGCATTTTCCAATTCCATGGCGATTCAATTAAAAACTTTACCATCCACTTTTGTCAAAGTATTGGCGTTAAATGTACTTATATTAAACGCGAAATCTTATGGCCATGCAGAGGAATCGTGTGTACACAAATACTAATTATAATAAATATCCAAATACTTATATAAGTACACATAATAAATGTCTACTTTTAATTTAAATCCGCCTATACTATACATTGTACAATACCTATATACAAATATTTTAATATTCTTATTGACTTATAAATTTAAAGGGTATTTATTGAATTAATAATGGTATATGCTATCAATTTTTCATTGAGGTTTATTCAAAAATAAAACAGTTTAAATAGTATTTGCATCAAAAAAAAGAAAGAAGAAAATACACTGGTCAACAAAAATAATTTTTTGGCGCATGCGTTTTACTTAACATATTCTGGTTATATAAGCAAATATATATAGGAAAGGATGTTTACAAATCGAAAATATTTGTTTTTAATCAATTATTTATAGCGATTTGACCTATTTTGCTTTTCGCGTCCATATGATGTCGGTCTTCGCGCGCTGTTGCCGTCAAAAGTATGATTTAAGTAAAAATTTAAAGATTTGCAAAGCATATCAAGCTTACTTTAATCTACCTGCTGAAAAGCAGGACAAACAAGAAAAAACGTTAACTTCGGTTGCACCGAAGCTATAATATCCTTTACAGATACAAAGGTTCCTTACCATAACTTGATTTAGATCTAATTTCTTGAATCGGCAATAAAAAATAAAAAATTTTCCATGCAGACACTTTACTCTGATCGAGCAGATTCTAAGAAAATATTTTATACTGATTTGCCATCGACATCTGCTTCAATACACAAAAATAGAACGTCTCATCATATTCAATGATTTTAATGATAAAAAAAGTTTAAATTAAACAATGGAATTTACTGGTTTTTATTTAATTGTATTTTCATTTCTTATACATAAAAGTAAATTTAGATCTATTTTTTATTCTTATTCATATTTGAGGGATTAAAGAAACAAAAATAAGGTATGTGCAGTTCGTACGCGACATTGCTGTAGATGTTAAATCAAACCAAGGCCCGTTGTTTTCTGAGTCCAAACACATGTACATTTACACTTTAAATGTTACTTTAAATCTGATTACACTTCATACATACAATAGTGCTAAGGTTCGCATTTTGTATGCGACACAAATAAGGACTCATTTGCATACATATGTGGGTTTATGATAATACGATTGTCAGCCGTCGCACAACGTCACACTTTAAATATTACACATTTTGCATTGTCAATTTAATCCAATAAACTTTCGAGTTACTGACGCAACGATCACTGAATTACAACAACATATTATAACAAATAAAATTTGTTGGCAGAAGAAATGGCTTACTCGTTTGTAAGAATTTGTAAATAAACTGCACTGAATGGCGTTCTTTAAGTTAATCCAGTATCAAGCATATGTATGTACGAATGTGTCACTGAAACAAATGTGGGACTACGACAAACAGAACACCAGAGATTTCGTTTGTGACGATGCGTAAATACGACAATATGAAAACAAAGCAAACCAGTAATTACCATTGCCAATAGAGAACAATTTTTTGCGCTCGCTTTATGACAATCTTACATATACACATACGGCAGTTTGCTATCGTCACTCGCGCTTTTATTGTCGTCATTTCCGTGCATACATTGCTTAATTTGAATTCATTCCTCATATTTGCTTTTCCTTTTTATTCCCTTATGCCTATTTATACATATGCCAGTAGAAGTGTATCAACATATATTTACAGTCAGAAACCCTTTCCTCACCTTGCAATTTGTTTGAAATTAAATTTACGTCTCGGTTTTTTGCTCTTGCCGTCTCCGCGTCCCTTCTTCCATATGTGCGTACGCCAGGCTGGATCCTGATAATCAAACGATGGCTTTAAATAATACAAAGCCATTTCTTGGTGGAAGACAGGCGTAATCGAACCAGACATAGGTGGTACAATCCATATCCAATCAGCTGGACAGCCATTGCTGAAAAGAAAGGTAAGTGAAAGCAAGGTTAGAACGAGCTATATCTCTTAAAGGAGTCATTGAGTAACTATATAAAATACCTTATTTAGAAAAAGAAATAAGAGTTAAGTTCGTGTGTAACCGAAGATTTCATATTCATACCGCATATAGTATAAATTCAACAGATAGCTCGAAAATCTTTTTATTAGGTAAATGGGGGCTAAGGGAATTATTGATCCGGTTCAACATAGTTTTGACATGCAGACATACTAGTATCAGGAAAGCATTTTCTTCGAATGTTAGTTATATATCTCGAACATTGACCGATATTTTCGGTAAAAAGTCAACTATAGGTATTTTTAGTCATAACTCACCTCAAATTCGCTATTCGTGCAAAGTTGTATTTTCCTGTGAAAGGAAAATGTTAGGATAATAATACCTACCGAATTCGGTTAAAATCGGTCGATCAGGTCCCGAGATATGAGTTTTCACCTAAATGTGGGCGATGCCACGCCCATCATCAAGGTATTATAACCAAAGGACAAATCCTTTAAGCACCCCTGTAAGTACTGTAATAATGGATGAAATTGAATGATAACCCCGCCCACCCCTAATATAACGGTTCTTATAATAACTACTAAATGCGCGATAAATCAATAAATAAATGCGTCATCAACATAAAATTGTGCACCCGAGATCATAGAAGAGGGCTTTATGTCTCGGAACCTGCTTGACCGATTTCAACCAAATTTGGCAAGTAATATTTTCCTGACCTTTCTATATGACAGTGCGAATATGGGCGAATTCGGACCACAACCACGTCTACTCCTTCTATAACAAAATTATAAATTGCATCTGATTCTTTCACTTTCCAGTATACACTTTCAGAACCAATGAATGTATCGGGATAAAACTTTGCACAAATATAGCCTTTAAAGTGCGCCATCTTATGACCAAAAATTTACCAAATCGATACCAGTTCATATTGTGAATTTTTTATCAAAAATATCAGTCAATCTGTGGGATATATTATAGAAACTCAGAAAAAATCCCTACCTGGTAACAATATGCCCGTGTACCAAAAATGGGTTGAATCAGATCAATAAGTTCTTTAGTCCTCATATACCCAATAGAAAAATTTGCGAACTTCCGGTAGACTTTATACCGCAAATATCGGTCAATATTTGAGCTATCTTAATGAAATTGAAACAAAATGTTTTTCTAATAACAATCTATCTTTGTACATAAAATGGGCCACCATCAGGTGAAAAGCTGCCCTATCCGACATATAACTAATATCAGTTCCGTTTGACTTTATCTCGCATATTAACTAACCGTTTAATATTGGACATAATATACAATCGTTTAATGCATAAAATATGTGATTTTGGTCAACGAATTATCCTAACCCCCATATATTACCCGTTATTTTAACAAATCCTATGCTAAATATGTCGGTCAGTGTATGAGTTAAATATTTATATAATGTGCCTTGGCACCCAAGGAGAGTTGGTATTGCAGATGGACGTGCATCTTTCACAATAAGATACAAGATTGTTATTTAGTACAACGAATTACATTTGAAAGCGGTATCTATGGTTTAAATTTTCAGCTATAGGCACTACGGTCTATATTTTCGGTATATGGAGGCTAGAACATTTATGTTCCGATTTTACCAATTTTAAGACTTGAGACAGCATATCTTAAACGCACTATTTCTGCAAAGTTTTATCCCGAGATATTCGTTGGTGCTTGGGTTGCATACTTGAAAGTGGAAACATCGGATGGAATGTAAATTTGAGTTACATGGTTGGTTGTTGTTCGATTTCCTCCATCTGGATGTAAAATTTAATGTCTCAGACACATTTAGTTACTTATTTATCGCACTTTTAGTAGTTTTTAACAAAACTACATTAAGTTACAGCTTACACAGAAAGACGGGCGTACGGTCATCCGGGCTTCAACTCGTCGCATCATTCTGAACGTTTATATAATATGTATTATATGGTAAATTAATTTATAATGCACTTAACCGTTTTTAATGAATTGAAAGTGCTCTTAACCGTTTCGGTTGAACTCCAAATTGAGTCTGGTTTTATTTTACATGTATATTCTTAGCTTAACCTACGCAGTTGATTGCTGCTGTCGCCAAAAATGCTGCTGCGGATTACTACGTGACCTTTTTTGTAAAAAAAATGCAGGTGTTCCTTTAGTGTCAGTTATTTTAATGCAAAGAAGTAGCATTCCTTAACTTGCTATACATAACTCTATATCTATAGTTTTAGGTATTCAAAACAACCGTTAGATGAATAAAACTATTATTCTCTGTAGCAACATGTTGCAAGCATACAAATATGGTAGAGGGAAACTTTACTTAATAAAATCAATTTACAATATATTATATTATATATACAGCGAGATCTCCCATAAGCAGACACTGACGGGACCAGCCTTTCTGTCCTGTTAATAGAGTTGTTCGCTTAATAGATTGTCCTTAATAAATATATTATATTAATTAAATTAAAATCAAATAATTTTGTTTATTTAATAATGTTCAAAAAATGTTTGCAAGTATATACACATACATATGTATATATTTATTTAAGAAGAAATTTGTAATTTTTTGTTTAAAGCGTTTTTACTTTTTGCTGCTTTAGAAGTTCAGATTGGTAAACTGACTCAATATTTTTCAGTTGCTCAAAGCCCTGATAGTTATTTCTTGCAAATTGTTGAAGTATAGCTTTAGTATCTCTTCAGCAGGGGAAATAATTTCTGGATAAAAAAAAACTCGTCTTATTTGCGCCAATGGCAAATCTTTGGCAGAATCAGTACTCAACCACTCAGTTTTTACGAATCCCGTAGTTAGTTTCGTATTCAAGTATTTCCAAGCTTTTTTCATAAAATAGAAAGCCTCTCAAACGTTCATTGTTTCAATTTGAGACAATACTTTTTATACCTTGAACACGGTATATTAAGAAAATTCGGAGATCATATAAAATATATACATAAATGATCTGCATGATGAGCTGAGTTGAATTTGCCATGTCCGTCTGTCTGTGCGTCTGTCTGTATATATACGAACTAGTCCCTCACTTTTTGAGCTATCAATTTGAAATTTTTCTGTCCTTTTCTCACTAAGAAGCTGCTCATTTGTCGGAACGGCCGATATCAGATTACAATATCATATAGCCGCCATACAAACTGATCTTGAATTTATTTGCTGCACTTCTAACTGACAAATTTTCTTTAGCCGCAGCGTTAATAACTTCAATTTTTTCTTTCACAGACAACACATTATTACAATCCATTCATGTTTCTTTAGGTTACTTAAGCGTACTGGCAGTAATGATTTCTATAATTACAATGCATACGAGTTTGAAGTAATTCCCCGAATTATACATTTGAGGCAAAATACATACATATGTATATATTAAGAACGCACATTTGGCATAAAAATGTTCGTTAATAGTGTGTCTGTCCGGTTAAAAGAGCGCCGCATCCACTTAATAGAGCTTCTTTTACCTAAGAAAATTCGTGTCCGCATCCGTACAAAGAAGCGTCCTGTTATTAGAACGTCATGTCAAATGTAGACGGTTAATCTGAAGATGTCCTCATAATAGAGCGTCCGTTAAATAGAGCTATATTATAATATAAACGCCAGGTTCAATGAATCATATATTATTCTTATGCATTAATATTGTAAATTCGTTCTTTGCCTTTGTAGTGACAACTAAAATTTTAAATCATTACTTTCTAGTAAATAGAAAATTTAAACAAAAAATAAAATATAACCATAACGGCAAAAAAATTAATGGTGGCGTTATAAAAAAACACAAATAATGTTATCGTAGTGCGATTTCGACATACTTATATTTTGGACGTAAGATTCTGATATATTTATTGATGTTCGATTTGTATACTGTAAAGTGAAAGAATCATTATTTATTTTTTTTTATTTTTTTGCTCAAAAATTATTATAATATATCATATGCAGTGAAGAAAATTATAAAAATCTGAAATTAACCACTCAATCGTCGAAAAAGGACTTAAATGACATTATCTGTGTTTTTTTGTTTGTATGACGATCCTAAGTTATTGATTTTTTTCATTTAAAAGTCTCAACAATAATCATTATTTACGGTCGCTGGTATAAATAAGTCTCAAGGCCAAACAATGTACGTTTGCGGATTAAAATTATAAATATTTTTATTATAAGTTAAAAATAACTTGCCCTACCTATTTCTTTTATTATATTTAATGCTATCAACAAACAACTTCAGAAATAACGAATTTGCTACAAACATGAATATAAAATTAATAAAAACAAATTCAACATCTTAAGTTGATTTGTATTTAATATCAACTCAAAGAAATTTTTTATTATTCATTTTCAAATTTTGAAGTAGTGTTCAAAATGCAATTTTTATACCACCTATAACGTTTTGTCTTTATTAATAAATAACATTTTACTGTGTTGAATTATTTACAATAATATAATTTAACGCGTTTGTATTAAACATATTATATTGAAATAACATAATCGAAGCTCACCGAGAGAATTTGAAAGAATGGAATTCACAATGAATTTGAAAAAAGGTCAAATCGGTTAATGAGTCATAAGGCTTGATGCATAATGTTCCGAGAGCCCATGTGCACTACTGATACGCCATATCAATGAGTTATAGTATTTAAAAAAAAAGGAAAAACGTTATCACCATTATGACAAATGACAATTGAGATGTTATTATTTATTCAAGTTACAATCAGTTTGTCATGTACTATCGCCAAAAACTACATTAACATGTAAGCGAGCGCAGCCAGCCATTGAAATTTTTCGAGGCAGATCTGCGCTTAGAAACTATTTATTCATTATTCCAGTGTAAAGTGAACAGGTCATTATATTGGATGTATGAGGCCTAGTAAAACGTATGGTCTCATTTAAGCATTTTCGATTAAATCGGAAATATAAAGATATACTGTAATTTGATGACATATATATAGAATAATACACTGTCTCAATA